AATTCAGAGCTGTTTAGAACTTTTGTTCTGAAGGCAGACATGGCACGCTTTGAGGCACTGTACTTAATATAAATGCAATAACATCTTTCAAAGCACTTTTCGCTTCCTCCGTATGTGTTACGAGCAAGAGACCAAAAAAGTCCATTTACCTAACGCAAACNCAGAGTCGAGTGATTTGAGAGTAGAGACGAACGAGGGGGAACGTGGGTCCGGGAACTTCTCCCCTAACACGGCGTCGCACACGCCGCACCCGCCGCTTATCGCAGAATAGCAGTGGGAGATTGGAGCACGCAATTTCTGAGGTAGGGAGTCCTTTAATTATTTGAATTGGCTGGCCGCTCTTTTCAATTCCAATGCGGTCTTGATCGTCGTTTATATAGGAGGAGTCATTTTGATTAATCAAGTCTGATAAACATGAAAACTAAAAAGAAACAGAAGAAAAAACGATCAAATCCAATGAAAACGCAAGCCAATCAACGAAAAATATCGCGTCCTATCGATTGGCGGGAGGCAGGGTGAGTACGGTAATTGCAGTGAAATTTGCCGCATGCCGGAGTATGCCGCGATAGGGGAGAAGTTCCGTTACCCGGGGGAACGTCCGTATGGGGTGTTTTCATAACGTCTAGGTTCGAGGGCGAAAATGGTGTAGTGACATGGGGCATAGGCCTGTGTTCAAGTCTAGGACCAGTTCTGACCTTACTAGCCCAGGCGAACCAAGCATCATACAAAGCAGTCCTTTGTTCGGGCAGAAGACCAATTTCTCCACTTCTCTACTGTCTGACATCTTGTTCAGGGCTCTCAGATCCGTACTCTTTGCCTTCGAATGCCCTAGCAATCCTCTTCAACTCTTTTAATTAATCCTTATACTTATTCCTGTTCTGTCACTTCCGTAGGCTTCTCATTTTCTAGGCCATATTGGTCGAGTCGTCTCGAATCGCGGCAATGCAAAATCCACCTATCGATGTATATCCGTACACCAAGTTCGAGTACAATCCATATCAGTACCTGGATTCCTTTTATGCCAAGGTATGCTTTGGAATAGCTGATACAAACGCCTCATCTTGGCCGAAAATTAGGAAGCCGTTAAGAAGGCGAGAGACAAGCGCGGTCTCGGTAATGTAAGGGATAGAGCGCGGTGCCGGGAAAGTACAAGTACGGGTTCGAGTTCCGTCCGAGGCAGAAGTTTTGTCCATAAATCGCCAACCTTGTGGACCGCGATCTTTTGAAGAGCTGGGACTTCCTTAGTAGTCGTAAGAACTAATTCTATCCCTACGCTGTTTTTCTAGAGCGAAACACTCACTTCCTTCCTGTAGTCTAGACATTGGCGAATCTATATTTTTCAAATGCTATAGGGTTTTAATAAGAAATCGAAGAAATGGCAGGGCTATTGGGATGAAGAATTTCTATATTTCTGTTAACCGTTGTACATAAAACTCAAGCTCGCAGAATCTGTTCTCCACCTAAATTTCACTATTTGTGAACCATTCGGCGAGAAGATTATTTCGCTATTTGCTGAACTATTACTGAAAGAGCGTGTTCGCTCGCTGTCCTCCAAAAACGCTTCTTCAGCAGCGGAATTGTGAGTGAGGCTATAGCCAAAGATGGTGTGAATGTAGTGAAAAAACTTTGGAATTTCACGCTTAATTTCAATTTCTTATTTCAGTGAATCAGATCAGAAATCGATGCCGACTTGTGCTTTTTTTTCTTAGACTTCTTTGAGTGAAAACTACACGCTAGTTATATGTTGAGTTTTTAGAGTTGTTTGTTTGGAATATTGTAAGTTCTAGCTAAAGAGTTCATAAGGATAGAAAATTTATCTGACTGACTCGGATCATGAATGAGATTTGTGGTCACGGAAATGCTACCGAACACAGCATATTGTTGGTATAATGGGCTGTGCACTAACGTATTCGATTTTCAGAAGGGGGTCGCGAATTAGCTTCTACTGTCAATTACTTAACATAGAAGGCCTCAAGACAGGCAAATAAGTCGGTGCGGGTAACCCGACGGTTTTTGGTGCGCCTGAGAAGAACGGAGAAAGGACGGTACTAGTACAAAACGGGTTGAATCTCAGTCTTCTCACCTCTACTTGTTTCATCTCCTGCCCAAAAGGACGCACTTCACCTCGATCGCTTTCTAACATGAAACTATGGAGCGATCCTTCCTGCCTCTGCGGTGACTGCTGCATACTGACTTTGTGCTGCACAGCTTCCTGAAATTTTGTGAAACGAACACAGGAATAGAGGGCATCCTTAAAATGATTTACCGGAAGTTTCGGAGACTGTTTCAATTCTATTTGGAAAAAAGCGCCTATCCCTCTCCAATGCACGACTAGTTGTGAGAGCAACTGGTCTTCCAGAAGCTGGACCAATTAGAGGTTGGACAGGACATTACCCATCATTTCCAAAGGTCTGCCGCCCCAGTCCAGGTAGAAGCTGCTTCTAATAGGTTATTTGGTTCCAGATTGCTACAGAATCCCAGAATTCGATGCAGCAGGGATGAATGCACTTGTATTTGTTGGCGAAATGTCTAGAATCGTGTACCGTTTAAATAATTCTGCTCAAATTACGATTTGTCGTACTTGAGAATGATGATTGTATATCATATACCAACCATTCCATTTGATTATCACCCCTGTCGTCCTTTGATCATCGACTTGTTCGAGCGTGCGCCCATAGTGTCTCCACTCGTCTCGCGAGCTCGAGGTACAGATACATCAGAATTCAGTTTTCACGAGTTCTTGATTCAACACTGCCTTCCGATAACAGTGGCCCTTTGCTTACTTCACTGTGTAAAGGTTTTATTTTTCATCGTTCGAATAGAACACCTAGTTATGTATATCGTACAGCAAAAGCATATTCGAGGGCGAAGGCAAGTGAGCATTGGAAACTTATGTACCTTTGCATATTTTCTAAGAAGATAAAATGACATTTGTTACTCAAAACATAGCTCACTGCAGTGTAGATAGAGAAACAATTCAGGGGAGTCGAGCGATTTAAAGGCACAGTTCACGATAAAAATGGTTTCTGAGATTTTCCCGCAGGATGAATTCGAGACCCCCTCGTGTACCATATCTGGCGCTATCATGTCGGAAGACGGTCTAGTTAGGGATCTGTGAAGGCTCAGAGATTGGCTCATGTGTATACGTGGACGAGTTTCACCGGCATTGTGGAGGCTGCACCGATCACAAGGGAACCTATGTAGGAAGTTCAAATAACTTGTCATGACCCATAGCGACAGCGAAATGAGTTCTGTACAGTTCTGGCTTGATGCAGTCGACTCTCTGTGCAATTGCAATAACTGAACTCTCATCCGAATACCCCCTTCCATGTTATTTGCTCGTGTGAATCTCGTCCAACCTTTATTTTCTCTACTTTTGAGGAGCTCTATTTCTCTCAAAATAGTCATTTTCTCGCAGTAGTCGCAACCTATACTTCCGCTTTTTGAATAAAAAGGTTATCTCAAAATTATCGTGAACTGTGTCTTTGATACCATTGAGAATAATGGTGAGCAGGCAAGACAAAAATAAGATTGCGAAAGCATCTACCAACATTCCAAACTAATTCTAGGACGTTTATATGGGACGTTCTTTTTTATTCCACCTTCATTTTCCATTAAAAAAGGGAAATTTTGGATGTCCTGCAGAATCTGAAATGAGCGAGCCGCTAATTATACGTCTAGAAGGAAATAACTAAAAGAATAATATACGCGCGGATAATTTGATAGGTTCCCCAAGACTATAATTTTCCTCAAAGGTAAGAGCTCCCAGAAGGAACGCATTCTAATCTGGAAGGGCGTTTTAACAAGAAAAATCTTTTTAGCAGAATAGAAAGAGGAAGCGTGCCTTACACACTTTGACATCTAATGGATTTTTTTTGAAATTCGAGTCCCTTGACTCCATCTAGAGGTATCTGAAGTGGGGACGATCAGGTGTGTGAGATCTGCGCTCTTCCCGTGTGGCTCTGTTTAGAGTTTGATATAATTTTCAAAAGCATATCTTCCTGAAATTTGGATTTCTCATGAGAAGTGTCAGATATACGAGCATGAGTTCCTAGAGTACCTGTGTAATCTGCGAAGGTTACCTTTCCTCATCTCGTAGCACTGCATATAAAGGACCTGGAATGAGAGAAGCAACCCAGCGGTTAACAACAGTTTAGTCCTTGGCTCTCATAAATTCAGAGCTGTTTAGAACTTTTGTTCTGAAGGCAGAGATGGCACGCTTTGAGGCACAGTACTTAATATAAATGCAATAACATCTTTCAAAACACTTTTCGCTTCCTCCGTATGTGTTACGAGCAAGAGACCAAAGAAGTCCATTTACCTAACGCAAACATATAACCCGTTTTACGCTATTTTATCACTGCTCGAATTTCAGCTGCCAGCGATTCCTTCCAGCGTCTGAGACATTGTCCCTACAGATTACCTCACACAACATTGTCTACTTCTCCCATATTTTTCTGCTCGGTGTTCTATGAAATGCAAAGTCTGAAATCGAAGAAAGCTCATGGTTAGTTGTTGCGCAGTAGCCCTTCGAGGAATGCGAGCAATAGCGTGGTTTCTCAGAACAACTCAATCATCCTTAGGGAACGGTCGAGATACAATGCGAGTTTGATAAGCCATTCTTTTCAGAAAGACGTCTGCAACTCATTGAAACAAGCAGCTGACCTTGGAGCTCGTGGAGTGGTCCTATGGAGCAGTAGCAAAAACATGAAACAACGTTGTGAAGGCTTAGCTGCATACGTCCGCGATATGCTAGGACCGTGAGTTACTTGACAGTTTCACTGACACGGATTGTAGGTGGTGGTGGGCACACAAGTTTATTAGTAAATCTATTAACACAATTATAACATTTACTATATACAGTATACAGTTTAAGTTACATCAACTGAAACTAATTATCAAAGCATTCCAGAAATTTAATAGTTCTGAGGAGTTATTCTTAGAGCTTGTAGGAATCATGGCTGACTTTTGCGCTGATTTCGTTCTATGTATTGTAGGATTGATCTCTTTTGCTCAACCCGAGCTTGCCATACAGACGTATCCAGTGAACTCGAAAATCCTTTTACTTTTTACTGGTTGTCGCTGCCCAGCATTTTTCACCACAATGACTTCCTCATTGAAATTTCTAACACCGACATGCGTGCAAATATAGTGATTAAGCAACAAATGTCAACTTTCAGATGTGTCTGCAAAATGTCGCGGTGGTGCAGTACCTGGCGTTTGGAAAGATCTCGTAGAAGGCAATAGCACTAGCGATTGTTTGGTTATGACGAAATCACAGAGTTAGAGTTTGACCCACTAGTCATTACTGAAGGCGCCACTCCAGCGTAAGGCGAATCAGCTAAATGATTTGAAAGCCCTGCTTGCGATGGAAATCGTTTTCGAGATTTAACTGGAATCCGCAACGTGACTTCAGGCAGAGGGGACGTTGTCGCTGTATCTCTCCATGGAATGGGTTGTGCATTTCTGAATGTATAGATTGTTACTGGACTATGTTCAGCCGAAAAATAGGACAGCAGGAGGTCCTGAGGTGGATTGACAATCAGGTAACTACAGAACTGAAAAAGAGTAAGTCATTTAGGGATTGACAGGGGCACTCTGAAAAAACACAGCTTTTGAGGGCGGGTGAACTCTCACTATGTCCCCGTCGAAAATTGAACGAAGTTCTGTTCAGCAATCATCAGATAGACGCTTCAGATTCATTTTGAAAAGAGTTTGCTCATTGCCTGTAGTTCGGTATGTTCATCTGTCATTGGATTATCCTGCTATTATATTTTTNTTTTTCCATTCGTTCTTCTTTCTTTTTACGTCTTCTCAGATTGAACTAAGCTCATGAGGCATTCTAGTAACATTCTACCACCACCGCAATCGAAAACTTGGCATTAGGTAAGTAAAATTATGGGTATATGTCAATATATTGAGCATTGCGAAATGTGATAATAATGGATAGTTCTTAAGGTAATTTCGATTCCCGAGCTTTTCACAAAACAATTTTTTCGTCTCTAGAACGAACCCTAATCGACCCTCAAAGGTTGAAGGGCAGGCCGGAAGGCAAGGCAGAAGGGAGGGATCTCGGAACAGCTGGCATAAACCACTTCAGTCTTGTGAAGACAAACGGGATAAACTTTAACGATTCCAACTTTTTCAATGATCTTGAATTCAGCTTTCATCGCAAACAGGGCTTTTAAGGGTATCCGCTCCTAGATGCTCAGTGATTGTTATAAGGCAGATTCAATTGTTTCTGAAATGTATGCGAATTGTTGGTTGCTGTATGTATTCCCTCCGCACTTATGTGATAAAATATTTTTTCATGCTTCCGTTTTAAATGGGCGACAATTTGGCGTACAGTGCATAACTACCCTCTGCATAGGTACTGATTACTGTCACGCCGGTGGACTGATCGACAAACTTTTTTTTATTCAAGCTGCTTTCTGAATAATCAAAATATTGACTCCGTATCACAATCACTTAAGTTCTGGCAAAGAGTTTCGACTGTACTATCAGTTCAGTCAGAAGCGCACTCATTTACTAACAGCACCAAGCTCTACTGTGTGCTGATACCGCGCATTTAAACACACGATCAGTCAAAGCGGTAAAGCAGTGAACCACCACCACCGAAGGTATGAATATCTTGCATTGACAGAACCAATAAAGGTTTCATATGTTTTTAGAACCGTGGCGCTTATTCGTAAGCGCACGCAACGTTGTCGCGAGAAGCGGTGCTCGGGGCATGGTCAATGTGTGCTTCCTTCACCGGCATCCAGGTACGTAGAAGACTTTTTCCCCAATGAGGACGAGGATATAAGTCCGAAGACTCATAAGAACACCCTACCAATTTGTGCGGTTATGGCGCGTCCCCATCAGTTACGGTATTGTGCAAACATTTGACGTAAATTGGCTTTTTGTGAGAAGTTCCTTGTTCTTCCGGAAGTTTTACTACGTTTTCGAGTTATAGTTCGTATCGTGCCAATTTCATACACCGTTTGATAACCATGGTGGAAGCACTTCTTTCTCAGCTAAGAACTTCTGTTACCGCATAAATCATCAATTGAAAGCTGCGTAAAATGGTCTGTGCTCTCTTTCGCATAGTCATTTGTTCACCGTACTTCCGATAGAGTTTGGTCGATGGGTTCAAAGTCGGAGGTTTCAATATGGTCTGCCCGAGTCGACTTGTCTGTCTTGGAGTATTCTTTACCATTACTTGACTTGCCAGGGCGGAGGTGGTGTAGTGGCAAGTGGCACTATATCACACGCACGGTCAGGAGTTCGAATCCCGGATCGATGCCCCCCTAGGCCAACTAACCCCTCCATCCCTCCGGGGTCGGTGAATTGGTACCAGACTTGTCTGGGAGGATAAAAGCGCTGACTTGTACATCAGCTGGCCACCGCAAGTCACTGTATAGGCCACATACGCACCCATTACGCCACTACGACTCTGAACGGAAGTCGAGTGCGGGGGCGCACCTTCAGACGGGATTGATTAACGCCAAAAACCTTATCCTAACCTTATCCTTACTTGAATTGCCTATCTCAACAACGCTTTTCTGCGAGTGTGTTCTGATTTCAACAGTTTAATTACTTCAGGTGCACATTCCGGATGCAGCCGGAGAGTTATATTTGTCGATGTGATACACTGTACACGGGCGGCACCTGTAATGTAAGACGTCATTTCCAAAGCAACTCTGATCGCAACGAAAGTGAGGTGGTGGGCTATAGAACTGCAAGAAAGTCGGGTCGCAGATGGTTAGGGCGACGGAGGCGGATCCGGATAATGAAGGTTTGTCTTCTCCAGTTCCTTTCACTTTCGAGTTATCGATGTCTGACTAGCTTCGCCCAACTCTATGCCGCCCACTGCGAAGATTTGTCCCTTTTTTTGAGTGTCTACAAACTCTTTTTCCTTATTCTAGGACATTTTCGACCCGAGTTATGAACTGAGCAATTCAGCTCCTCTCCTCTGAAGATTTGACCACAATCCTAAACTAATCTCGAAAGTTTCTCCATCTGGATCGTTAACATATTTTTATCTACTGCAGAGACAATTGGTGCTCTTTTCGAAAAACTTTTATCCAGTGCGACTCGAAGGACATGAAGAAGTCGTAGAGGTCAAAGTTTGGAAGCCCAGCTTCTTTGAGTCTCTTTCGAAACGTTTTTTTAAAGTACAGGACAACGCAAGATCTCAGGTCGGGAGGGCCGTTGAACTATTGAACAGTTCCAGTGATTTGAGTTTTCCCGTTGTCGTGCAAATATTTCAATTGGCTGAACTAATTCCTTGGCCTTGCAGTGCTAAATCAAACAATACATCTTTACGTAGCGCTGTGCACATATCTGCTTACACTTTTCCTTGCAGGTAATCGGTGATACCGCAACAAATGACAGTAGTTCATCAGGTGGCGTTCATGAGGGTGTGGTGACTGTGGCACCCATCAAACTTGACGATACCAGGCAGTTGGAGTTAAAGGAACAGGACTCCGTGAATGTCACAGACACGTCTATCTTGGTGGCCGCGGCTGCCCCAGAGACGGTGACTACGTCGGATACATTTCTACACTTCACTCCCCCACCACTAGACTTCCGATTAATTTGAATTTATTCAAACTGCCCTCTTACAATATATTAGAAGTCTGTAACCTCTTTCCATGGCACTGCTAACAAGGTTCACAGTCGATCCGGCGTAAAACTTGGAACTCCGATTTTTTTCAACTCCCAAACATGATTTTTCATTTCTCATGCTGTTCAAAGGCGCAAATTATACGCATGCTTGCACTGGCTGCCAGAGTTCATAGTAACTTTCCATTGATTAGCTCAACTTTTACGGTCCATCTATGTGGATGTTCTTCCATTTTATTGGGAAAGTATTCAAATCCTGATAGTTCACTATGAATACTTTCCCAGTTTTTAACCATCTCGACTTGCTTGTGGTGCTTTGTGGTTTT